GCCACCAGGGGAGGACCGTGGCCCCGCGGCCACCAAGCCAACTGGCAGACAGGCATGGTTCTGTTTTCCTCCACCTGGCTGTCTTCCATGCTTGTCCTCAAACATGAACGTGAACTGTGCAGGCTGCTGGCATGGCCATTTACCACACGTGCCAGCAGAGATGGTCCTGAGAGGGAAATAAGCCGGTCTTCCCCTGCCTGCTCCCGCACCTGCCCACCCACGCTGGGTCATGCCGAATGCAGGGAGAATCAGCAATTGCACATGCATTTCAAAATACTGTGCTCCTCTGGCGACCTTCTGGAAGTCCCCCAAGGTCCCCCCTCAGCACCAGAGGGACCAGGCTCCACTCCCTGCTAACTGTTCAGACGGCCTGTGGCTCTCTGAGAAGTGCCCCGCCTCCCAGGAAGCAGCTGTGTGGGCACGCGACCTGGGGAAGAGCAGGGTAGAGTTCAGTCTTCCTGTTCTGGGAGAGCTGAGGGCAGGCTGCCAGTCCCCGCTGCAGGGACAGCCTTGGCCTTGGGCTGTGACAGTGGCAGGAGAGCCACCCCACAGCCTCTCTAAGTCAGGCAGCAGAAAGCTCTGAGACGCTCTGTGTCAATGCCATCACTTAAAAAGGGGCATGGCCACTTGACCGGACAACAGGATGGAGTCTGTGTATGTGGTCCCAGCCACATAGACGCTTAAAAGGTGAAAGTTCTGGGAGCACATCATCCTTGCATCCCCCTGCGCCCCATGCCCCCCATGCCGCTGAGCACGGCTCCACAGAGCAGGCGGAGGGGGCTGGGGACAGAGCCACAAGTGGTCTGACCCGAGCGACCTGCCCTACAGAGCTCCAGGCTTACAGGAGAGGCAAGGTGGGCTCAGCTAATACGGGATGCATGGGATCACTGCAATGGAAAAACAATGTCAGATCTGGGGGTGTCGGCAGCAGATAAGGAGGGATTGAGTAACTTCACGTGAGTGACAGGGAACTCCGGGAGGGGAAGCATGCCATCTCATGGGGTCATCTCCAGGGAACTCCGGGAGGGGACGAGTGTCATCTCATGGGGTCATCTCTGGCCAGGCCCTCCAGGCTGATGGCATGTGCCAAGGTCTCGTGGCAGCTATGTGATGGCCGCAGGGCCAGGAGGCTGGTGTGGCTGGAACCTGAGGGCAGGGGTAAGGCCGGCCCAGCGAGGGCAGTACTTGTCACACTTGCAGTGCTGGGTATAGTTGGTTAAGACGTGGCCTGCAACGCTGCCATCACACAGCAGCAGACTCTAGTCCTGGCCACTGTAGTTCCAATCCAGCTCCATGCTAAGGTGCATGGGGAGTCACGAAGGGTGGCCCAAGTGCTTGAAACCTGCAGGCGCATGGGAGACCCAGATGGAGTTCAGATTCCTGGCCCAGCTACAGCCATTGCTACCGTCTGGGGAGTGAACTGGTACATGGAGATCTCCTTATCGCCCCTCTCCTCTCTTTGTCTTTCAAATAAATACAGTAAATTTTTGTTTTTAACTCAGCTGCATCTGACTTTCATTTTCAAGGAATTCTGGCTGCTGATAAGGCTGTTCCGGGTGTGGTTCCCACTGGGGAAACGGGAAGGGGTAGGGCTGTGAGCTGCACACTGGCCTGGCCAGCAGGTACCTAATGTGGGCAACTCTGGGGAGCCATGCAGACTGTGAGGCCTGAGACAGCAACCGCAGTCCCCCACCAACACACGCACCTGCCCCCACTTTGCTGACCACTTAGCAAACCCATCTGGTGCCACCATAAAGATTGTGTAAAGACTCCTTCTCTTCCTGTTGTTCATTTTGTATTGTGGCTTTTCCTTTATGAGGATGTACAGTAACTGTGTAATGCAGACTGTCATTTCCAGATGATCTGAAAGTAGACATACACACTGCATTGCATTTTCATAAGGTCCACTCTTGTTCCTGAACTTTTCTGGACTCCTGGTCTTCATATGAACGGATTTCGATTTTTTTATATATACCAAAATCAACTTGAGGCTTTCACCCCTTTGCCACAAGTCTGTTTTTTTTTTAAACCCTCGTAGCAAGAGAGAGTCCCCCAGCTGTGGTAGTGGATCCCTAGGGCTGGCAGCCCTCTCTGGTGAGGAGGGCACGGGGAGCTTGCAGGGCCACCCGTTCTGCTCTGGACCCAGATCTTTCAAAGATAGACTTGCAATGAAACTGTTCGCTATATCTTGACAATAGGATGCTGGACTCTCTGCCATGGTCCATGCTCACAATGATGGACATATGACTGTGTATGAAGAACTACAGTAATAACACAGGGAAACACAGTGGAGGGGAGGGAACAGGGAGAGGATAAGGGAAATCCCAGGGCTTATGGAATTGTATCATAAAATGATAGTAATCATAAAAATTCAAACTCCCAGGTTTTCTGATAAGGTTGGTGAGAATGGTGAGCAGGGTGCCTGACGGATGAAAGCCTTGGATCTTTAGGTAAAGCTGTTGCAACACAACCTTATCCCCTCTCCCCGCCCCCTCCTCACTTAGCCTAACTGGAGAGAGACCCTGGCTGCAGCTCCCAGCCAGGGCACCACCCGCCAGGGCTGCAGCCTCGGGCAAGCTTCCCCCACATGCTCAGTGCTTCATCCATGAGGCTCCTCCTGTGACAGTTGGGGTTCCTTCTTGTTTGGGGGAGCCCACTGTGTTCTACCCACACGGGCTTGCATGGGGTTTGTGCTTGTTCGGCCAGAGAGATCTCACTTCCGGTCACCGAGAGCAGTGAGCCACCAACACCTGCCTGTTCAAGAAGTTGATCAGACATGTGCAGGCAAGACTGAAAGATGTGTGCTAGAGATACGTGGCGCTTGCTCGAAAGGAGAGCTTTGAGGTCAGGCTGGGGGATGAAAGAGAGCTGGTGTCACACTCAAACCATCCCTTAAGGCAGGGGCGTAAGCCAACAATGCCAGCTCTGAATGCCACTTGGTGTGTGAATGGGGTGGCCTCTGAGAGCCATGTCCCCTCGGTGCCAGGAAGCAGGAGCTGGAGCCGCAGGCTGTTAGGGCCCACACTGGGAGCTCCAAGCATCACTCCTGCCACGCAGCTGGGTCCAGAGCAGAGCAGGTGGCCCTGCAAGCTCCCCGTGCCCTCCTCACCAGAGAGGGCTGCCAGCCCTAGGGATCCACTACCACAGCTGGGGGACTCTTTCTTGCTACGAGGATTAAAAAAAAAAAAAAAAAAAAAAAGACTCGTGGCAAAGGGAGTGAAAGCCTCAAGTTGATTTTGGTATATATAAAAAATCAAAATTCATTCATATAAAGACCAGGAGTCCAGAAAAGTTCAGGAACAAGAGTGGACCTTCTGAAAAGACTGTTGGAGGTCAAGCATTTGGGCACCAACACAAACCTTTCTCCTTTCCAGAAACTTCCGGAACCACCCTTGTAGCTTCAATGTCAAAAGAAGGGAGGGGGATTTAGGCCGGTGTGGGAGCAGCTGGGGCGCCCACTGCCTCCCGGCCTCCTCTTCCTTGTCCGCTGGTCCCTTGCTCTTTGTCTGAGCGCTGTGTTTGGCTGGTTCTTTATTTGCGGTGCTAGGGAGCTGGCAGGGGTGGGGCTGCCAGCACCAGATAACTCTGAGGCTCACGGAAAATTCAGGGCAGGTGCCTGGCAGGGAGCAGGCGTATGCATGGTGCCAGCAGCTGCCACCCCTGTTCCCAGGACACACCCCCTTGATCCTGGCCAGGCTGCCCACTTCCCCCGCCAAGGTACCAAAGCTACCAGGAAGGAGTCAATATAAGCCCAAGAACTCCACGGACCGGTTCTTCCAACCCTTCTTCCCCCCCCCCCCGCCGCCTCCGGCCCCCCCATTCCTTCTGCTCCACCCCCACCCGCCCCGCACCAGGTCTTGGCCCCCATTCACTCCTTCGATGTTGAAATATTTAAAAACTGGTAGCCAGGAGTTTCCTTTTATCTTCACTGGCTCCTGGGCAAGAACGCCACCTCCACTGTGGGGCCCCGTTGGGCCAGACAAGTTAGGATAGGCATCTTAGAGGCATTATCTAATCTCCCTGTGTGAGTGTATCTTTCATGTTATTTGAAAGACACCTCTTCCATCGGCAGGTTCACGCCCTAAAAGCAGATGGAAGTCTCAATGCCGGTGGCCCACGTGGCTGGTAGGAACCCAAGAGCTGTCCCAGGGAAAGTGCAGCTAGGGCTCTGCCCCCAGCACTCCGAGTGCCTGTCAGAGCCCAGCTCCCCCTCGCCTCCCAGCTGCAGGAAAGCAGAAAGTCCCAGAGCAGCCAAGGGGCTTGTCCAAGGCCACGGAGGTACAAACGGCAGGGTCTGAAGCCGGGCCACGGTGCAAGTCCCCTTGGCAGCCAACCCACCCAGAATAATGACTGTCCCCGGGGCTCAGCCACAGGCTAGTAACAAACAAGCAGTCTTCCTCCCAGGCCCCAGCGGGCCCGTTAAGGGAGGCTGAGGAGATTGGGGCGGGGGGGGGGGTGCCCTGTGGAGAGCGCAAACCAGCTCCAGCGGAGAGAGGGTTGGGTCTCAGGGGCGTACTGCCCAAGCCTTGGTCCTGGGACTTGCCTGTGCGCTCTGTCATTTCAACTCCCACTCGCTTGGGTCCAGGACCGTCTCCGTCCCGTCCTTCAAGGACCCCCGCACCCCGACCCAAAACTGCGTTCTACAAACGCACCTGCCTCCGCCTTGGCCCGCGTGGAGGAGCTGTTGGGGCTCCAAGACTAACGCACAAACTGAAACCAAAACGAGCGGCGCCGAGGAGCGCCAGGGCGCGAGTGCAGCCCGGCCTGTGGGCCTGAGACCCCCCCTCCGCCCCGCACCCCTCGCCCACTCTGCCCACCCTCCCCCTAGCCCCTTCGCCTGCGGGAGAGGGAGAGGAGGCGGGGGTCTCGGGTCGCCGCCAGGAAACCGCTCCCAGGCTTGGGAAGGGCCCCCAAGGAGTGGGTGGTGGCCGGAGGGCGGGGCGGGGGCGGGGCCTGCCAAGTCTCCAAGGGGCGCCCCCGGCTTGCGGCACCCGTGTCGGGGCGTCGGGCGAGATGGCGGCGCGCAGCCTGGGCCGCGGCGTCGGGCGGCTGCTGGGCAGCTTGCTGGTGCGCTCGGGGCAGCCGCTGCGGTCGCTGCGCTGGGTGAGCGCGCCGCGCGGGGCAGACGCCCCACCGCCCGGCTCGTACCCGGTGCTGAGCGCGCAGGCGGCCCGGGAACCCGCCGCCTTCTGGGGGCCGCTGGCGCGGGACGTGCTGGTGTGGGACACCCCCTACCACACGGTGTGGGACTGCGACTTCAGTCGCGGCAAGATCGGCTGGTTCCTGGGAGGCCGGCTCAACGTGTCCGGTGAGTGGGGGCTGCGAGGCTGCGGGGGGGAGGCCGGGGGACCCCCGAACCCACGCGTCCCGTGGAAACTCCAGGAGCTGCTAGCCCCGGCCCGGGAGGACGGCAGCGGGCGCCCCCTCCCCCTTCTGCAACCGCCACGTCAACCCGCGCTCCATCCCACCCGGCTTCGGGGCGAGGGGGTTTAGCGTCCTGCCTCGAGACTCTGCACCTTGCATCCGAGTCCGCCTTGTCAGGCCCCGGCTGCCGTTTGCGAGGAGACCCGAGTCGAGTTGGGGCGCTGTGTGTGTGTGTGTGTGTGTGTGTGTGTGTGTGTGCTTGTGCGCGCGCTGAGCGCTCTGCTCCAAAGTTGTGTTTTGGTTACCCGTGGCGCAGCGAAGCGCCCGCGACTCTGGGGAACTGTGGGCCGGCCCGGGAGCCCCCCTAGAATAGCCGGGACGTCACCGCTCCTGTCTCAGAGCCCCAGGGAGAAGCAGAAAGCTGCTAGCGGGCCCGTCTCCGCCAGCTGCTTGGCGGCGACTCGCCGAGGGACAAGACTCAGCCTTGGGAAGCAAGTCGTGGCCGCCGCCGGGAGGAGAAACTCCCGGCCGCGGATCTCCTCACTCCGGGGTGTGTGGGCGGGAAGGAAGCAGCCACGAGCGCAGCTCCCGGTCCCCGCCCGGAAGACCCACTGCCCCGCAGCGGACCTGCTGGGGCCGGCGCGCCCGCACCTGTTTTCTGCTTAAGCCCAAGTCGGGCGACTGTGGTACCAGAGTTTGGGGCCCGAGGCTGGGGACCAAATTGCTACATCGCTTCTCCGGCTGACTCTTCGCTTGCACTCGTGGTCCCGCTGCTTGTCAAGTCTCAGTCCTCCCGTGTGAGAAATAGGGCCGGGCCGGAGATGCTCCCGGGTTACAGCCTCAGGAAGGCAGGGGCTTCCCTCCTCGCCCCGCCCCCTGCCCACCCCATCCAAAGCTTACTGGTGATGAACCATAAACAGAGCAACCTTGATTCAGAAATGCCGATGAAAGGGTAGGCGGTTACCTTGTAGCTATCATTCCAAAAAAAAAAAAAAAAAGCTGAAACAAGAACTTTGGACTAGCATTCTTCGCACCTCTGCCCCGCACAATGTATAATTACTTTGTCGGATTAATCAAAATGAGTCACTTAGTAGATAAGTGTTTTCCCCAACAAGTGTCCTTGAATGAGAGAGAGAAGCCTATGGGTTGGTGCCCAGAGGTGGTGGACTGAGAGAGGAGAGAGGCGTGCTGGGATTCCGCAGTTGGTGGAATGTGCCCTTGATGGGCAAGCAGCCTGTTACTGCCTGCTGTCTCTGCACTTGAGTGGTCCGGGCCCCCCGCAACGGCTCCTGCACGGTTGCAGAGAAGGCATGGATGCAGGCCCCACAGGGCAGCCTAGCAAGCACCTGCAAGTCTCCTTGGTCAGGGAAGGGATGAGGTCAGCCAGCGTGGCCTCTGTCCCCTTCTCCCTCCTGCCCTCTCCTGCACCTGCAGCCTGCAGGGCCTGCTCAGCTGGCCCTGAGCTTCAGAGCTGGGTCTTGTTGGAAGGCAGCCGCAGTGTGCCTGCCCACCCGCTCGTCTGACTAGGCAGTATCCCTGTGTTCCTGGCTGGCTGGGTGTGTGACAGCTGCAGAGCTGAGTGGGGGAGAAAAGCAGCAGGAGGCCAGGACGGCCCTGGGAGGCACCTGGAGTGGTGCAGTAGGTGGGGCTCATTTGACCTGAGCTGTCTGTCCTGTAAGATAAAGACTTTTGCCTGTTCCAAAGCAGTGTCCTTGTCAGACAAGTTCATTGCCCCTCAGCCTGGTCTACACCCACTGTTCTGGGGTGAGCCCTGGGCCGGCAGCAGCAATATTACCCAGGGACTTTAGCTGTCTGCATTCACAAAAGGTCTGTTTCTTCATTTTTGTCTTCTTGAAAAGCAGAGTGATGGAGGAGGAGATTGAGAGAGATTTTTCCAAGCATATATTCCTGCAACAGCCAGGGCTGGAGCAGGCTGCAGGCAGAGCCTGGTACATCATCGGGGTCTCTCTCTCCTGTGACAGTGGGCCGACCCCTTGGACTATCCCATGCCACCTCCCAGGATGCGGTAGCAGGAATCTGAATGGGGAGCTTAGCTGCCAAGGCTTGAGTCTTCACTCAGTACAATTGTGTGGGTGTTCCGCTGTACCCCAGTGCTTGCCCCTGGGGGAAAGTGTTCTAGAGATGCAATTCCAGGACCCACTGTTGACCTCCAGGGTCAAGAGCCTTGGGGAGACTGGGCACCTGTTGGCCCCCCAAGGGACTGAGGGCACACTGGGGAACCTGAGCCGGCAAAGCTCCTTCTGAAGAAGGCAGATCCAGGGGTTGAGTGCTGCAAACAGCTGTGCGACAGTGAGTGGCATTGTCAGCCCTGGGTGTCCGTGGGGGGCTGGCTTGAGGGCCAGGGACGTTGAGGGACTGAGTGGCGTAGTATTTGCCTGCAATCTGCACAGTCACCCTTCCATATACTTTAACCTCATGTACTTTAAACAGTCTACCGACCTCAGACAAGGTAAACACTATGTAAATTGATGTTGTGTTATTTAGGGAATGATGATAAAGGACACTTGCCGACCTAGGCCTTTTATATGGTGAACTTCAGGCTCAGAGTGGAATGGCGCTCGGGGTCAACTACAGGCGGGTGGTTCTAGAAGCATCTCTGACTCCACTCATGGCCTGTGCTGTTCCCTGCACCTGTGACATACGCACAGTGTGCAACCAAATTGCTGTTGCGACTGTGGCGCTGCCTTGGAGCCCGCTATGCTCGGCCACCACTGCTGTGTTGCCTTCATTGATTCTGCGTGTCAGGACTTTGGACAGGGCCCGAGGGGGATGGCTGGACACTCCCTCAGACTTGGGGTTGAGCACATTGCCTGCTTCTTGCTCCTGAGTCCGAGGGACTCAGGGGATTGGAAGTCCACGCCAGCCTGGGATTGGAATGACTCAGCTGCGACCCAGAGCACCTATCTAGCCTTTCCATGGCACAGAGGCTGGCCCTGTGGTAACCTGCCGACCATTACCAGGGGCTATTAGGATCAAGCAAGATAAGGCTTGCACAGGCCTTGCTCTGTTTGTAGCTCCTTATGCCCCAACCACTGGCAGGGTGTTAATTATTAATGGAGCATTTGGGGTGGCTGTGACCTTGAGTGTGGCCTTGAGCTGTGTTGCTGAGAACTAGACACTTCACCTGGACAGGACTGTGTGGGTTCGAGTCGGATCTGTGTAGAATGGGTGGAAAGCAGGTGTCTGGAATGGCTCTTCAAGCCATCACCCAGAGCTGGCTGGGCTTAGGCGACGGTGTTGATGTGAAACCACTGGGCTGCGGGCTCTGCAGCCCTGTCACCCACCTAGACGTCTGGCCAGCTTTGTAGGGCTGCACAGGTATCTTTCCTGGAGGCTTAGAACCTGCACAAATTAGGGATCTGCACAGAGAACTGGAGGACAGGAATGTGTGCTGTTTCACAAACTCCACTTCAAAGTCTTTTTTTTTTAAGAATGTGTGCTCTGAGGAAGGCTAAGAAACTATGTTTAATTCCACACCGAGCACCGAGAGAGTTCTTCAGCACCCTTTGGAGCAAGGATTGCAACAAGAGCACCGTTCTCTGGAGCTCTCCTCTCTGTGTCTGCCTGCCATTGCTTGGAAAGCAGGTTGGCCCAAGGCACAAGATGCTACATGCTGGGTTGTGTTTGTCTGCCCGCAATTCCAACAGCCTCTGGTTTTTCTTATTTGTTTATTTGAGAGGCAGGCAGAGGCAAATAGAGAGATAGATGAGAGAGAGAGAGAGAGAGAGAGAGAGAAAGCTCCCAGCTGCTAGTTCACTCACCAAATACCCACGTCAACCTGGGCTGGGCTGGGAGCAGTGAGGAGCTGGGAACCCGAGACAGGTCTCCTGTGTGGGTGGCCCAGCCGGAGCCAACACTGCCTCCTTCCGGGGGAGAGGGGGTGTCTGTCTGCACTGGCTGGGAGCTGGGGTCAGCAGGTAGGAAACCCAGGTTCTCCTGTGGGGCCATGGGGGGTGTGTTAAGCTCCGGGCCAATGCCTGCCCCGCCCCTTGGGAAGTTTTCCGGGTCCTCCAGAGAGGAAAACACAGCCGGGGTCTTAGCAGGAAGGCCCTCTCGAAGCATCTTGGGATTCTTCTGAGTCCTCAGCGATACTGACTTACTTTAAATAGCACTCGGTTCTGGAAAGTTGGCAACTCCAGCTTCTTGGACTGATGCAATATCTTAGCATGTGCCAGAGAACCAGGCTATTTAAAGAGAACTCATTGTGAGTCTTTCAGTGAATATTAACCCTCCTGGTTCCTTCTGCTGAGGCATTCTGTCTGTTTAGTTAGAGTGGTGTGGATATCTCCTTTGAGGAGAGATGTGTTGGAATAGCTGCTAGGAAGTCTGAGTGTGTGTGGCCTTTTAAAATTTAAAAAAAAAATTGTTAATTTATTTTAACTTGAAATGCAGATTTACAGAGAGACAGAGAGAAAATCTTCCACCTGCTGGTTCATTTCCCAAATGGCTGCAATGGCTGGAGCTGAGCCAATCTGAAGCCAGGAGCCAGGAGCCTCAAGCCTCTTCTGGGTCTCCTGTGCAGGTACAGGGTCCCAGGGGTTTGGGCTGTTCTCCACTGTTGTCCCAGGGAGAGCAGGGAGCTAAAAGGGAAGTGGAGCATCCAGGATTTGAATTGGCACTCATTTGGAATGCTGGCACTATAAAGGATTAGCCTGTTGAGCCACTGCACTGGCCCTGCTCCAAAAGCTTTAAAAAAATAGGTTGTGTATTTATTAGAGAGGCAGAGCTGGACATACACAGAGAATTCTCACCTGTCTATAGCTGGGCCAGACACTCCCTGTAGGTCTTCCACATGGGTGGCTGGGACCTGGTCACCTGAGCCATCACTGTTGCCTCCCAGCATCTGTGTTAGCAGGAAGCCGGAGCCGGTGGGTGGCAAGTGCAGGTGCTGTGATGCGGGATGCAAGCACCTGAACTGGAGCGTTATCTGTGGTCCAGCATGTGTCATCTTTGTTGAGGGTGTGATGCCTTGCCACGGGTCTCAGCTGTCTGTAGGCACCCAGCAAGTGTGATGGAGGCTGTCCTCAGCCCCCACTCACGGCACCTGCCTGCAGTTGAGTGGCTGCTGGGCCAATGAACAACAGCATAGGTTCCCACTGGCAGCCTGTCCAACCGTGGTTTGATTTCTAGTCCCGTCCATGTTCTTCAGCATCGAGTTGTGCCCGCTGGGATTTGTACGTGTCACAGCAGGGAACTCGCAGCTGCTGCGGGAAGAGCTGTGGTGTGATCCCCACACCCGTGCTGTGAGCCGTGTCCCCACCTCCCCACCCGGGCAGAGTGAGGGGTGGGCAGTACGGTGGGATAAGTGTGCTGGTGGGATAGCGTGCCGTGTGCTGGGGCAATTTGGAAGGGGCCGGCAATAGCACACAGGGTTGGGGGTCCCGCCAAGCTGCCCTGGATCCTAGCCCAGCTCTTCTTGAAGTCCCTGGGAACGGGGTTGTCTTGTCCCACTGCCCACTTCTTGGGAATTAGGATTTTCTGTTTGTTTTTTCTAATTTTCGATGTAGAAACGTAAGGTTTCCCTCTCTTCCTTCTCCCCTCTTCCTTCCTTCCCTTCCTTCCTCCCCCTCCTCCCTCCTCTCCTCCCTCTTCCCTTCCTTCCCTCCCTTTCTCACTTCTTCCATCTTTCCTCCCTTTCTTCCCTCCCTCCCTCCCTCCTTCTTACCTCCCAATTTTCCTCCCATCTCTGCCTTCCTCCCTCTCTCCTCCTCTCCCTTCCCTCCTTCTTCGCCCTCCCTCCCTTCCATCTCCTCCTCTCTGCTGCCTCTCCTTTCCTTTCTTCTTTTCCTTCTCATCAGTTGCAGCCAGCATCCGTCATTGTACGGACCCTGGTGCCCATGGCGGTCTCAGGGTCGCTGTGCCCATAGACTCCACGCTGTACTTGCTCTGTCCTTGTGTCTTCTGAGTGTCACCCACAGAGACAGTGAACAAAGATGAAATTGTCCGTGTGTGTGTGTTTTCCCTGGGAATGCCGTGACTCTGTCTGATCCTGGAGCAGGAAATGACTCCAGTGGCACCTCATTCTTGTAGTCACACCCAGATTCAAGGGTTGCTGCACCCACCCTGAGGCATTACATAACAGGTGCACCGATTGTGGTTGGAGAGTGGCTCGTTGGGGCTGCCTTGAAACCCTTGATTTTCAGCTGTGGTGCCCAGCTGCCAGTCCATGGGGAAGTGGCCGGCAAATGTGGCAATGTGGCTGATTGTTCTGGGCTGCTGTGTCCACCCAGAGAGCAGATTTTGTCTGCCACATGTGGGCCTGGGTCACCCAGGTTCTGTTTGAAGGCCAAAGCCCAGCCTCACCCTGTGCCACTCAGCTCAGGGTTGAGGGGTAAGGGGATCCTGGGGCCTCTGAGGTTGAGCAGCTGTTGAAGGCCCAAGGGAGCCTTGGGCAGGGCTGGGCTGGGCTGCCTGTGTTGGGATGTGAACAGGACACTGTCCCACCCCTACCTGCACTCAGGCAGCCGGCAGCAAACTTATCTCAGATTGAGTTGGAGGGAGGTTGGGAGTCCAGGGAAGCAAATCTGCTGTGTGCAGCCAGCAGGGAGAGGCGAGCCTTGCAGGGTGTGGGCACGCTGTCCTTGGGGAGCTGCTGGCTGCAGCATCCGTCGGCCCTGGAATAGACTGGCTGCACCCCAGGCTGTCCTCCATGCCACCTCCCTGTTCCATGGATGTCCTGGGGCTTTAGTTGGGTGGGCCCTGGGTGCCGGAGCCAGCAAGAGGCATGGTTTGGAGTTTGCTGGCTGGATCTGGGGCAGGTCACTGGACCACCACGATGGATCACCGCAGAGGCCATTTTCTGATTTGCATGTGGGTGGCCTACATGCAGGTTTCATCTGGCTGTGTGTCCCCTGCTCCCAGGAGGTGGCCGGAGCACCCAGGAGCCTAAAGAGGCCCGCGTCCCATTTGAGTGGTGTCCTGAGCCCTGTTTCCTGTGTCTGGCTCTCCTCCGAGGCTTTCTGCAGCGTCCAGCTTAGCCGCTTCCTGCCCAGGCTCAAGGTGACCTCCTGTTGAGGAGTGGCATCCCCAGTGAATATTCAGAAGCTGCACACCTGTGGTCTGAGTGGGAGAAACGTGATTGGTTTGGCACACACACACATGCACACACTTAGCAAAGCAGGCCCTCCGTAGGTGGTTCACTGATCTCTCCAACTAATAGCCTTGCTGTTGTCTTCTCTCTTCTCATCAGTCAGCCTTAGACTCGCCTGGCCCCTGTCTCCCCAGTCTGTCTCCTCCTCCACCCTTCCCCTCCCACCTGGTGCTTGTTGCATTGTGACGGCTGGCCCAGGAGGGTGGGGTGACCTGGTAGGCTGGAGGTTGTTTGCCTGTGTGACCTTGAGCTGGCTACTTAGCCACTGGAAGGGGAAGTGTTTGGTTCCTGCTGCTGGTCACCCTTTGCTGCTTTCCCACACATCAGCAGGGGGCTGGATTGGAAGTGGAGCGGCTGGAACTTGAACCTGAGCCCAGGTGGAATGCTGGCCTTAACCCTCTACGCCACAGCACTAACCCTGAGTTTTCTTACATTTGTCACCTGCACGCGTGCTCTGGGCTGAATCTTTGCCTTTCCTGAGCCCCTCGGCTCGGAGCCCTGGTTAGAGTCAGTGCCCAGGAGCCAGGGCATAGGGGTGCAGCAGGTTCTATTGGTGCTCGCCTTCTTTGAGACTTCTGCATCCCGTGTCTGGGAGCATTCCTGCATCCCTGCTTCAGATCTGAGCCACCTGCTCATTTGTCCTGGGGAGCAGCCAGTGATGATGCTGATGGTAATGGCTCCAGTGCCTGGTAGGAGACGGGTCCTGGCTTCCATCCGGTCCAGCGCTGGACGTTGTGTTTGAACCAACATATGGAAGATCTCTCTTTCTCCCTCTTTCAAATTGGTGAAAATAAATAAACATTTAAAGATTAGAATTGGTGTCCAGGATTTGTTTTGGATGAAATGATTTCTGGTTTATGTGCCCCTTCCTCCCATCCTCCAGAAGAGCATTTTGGAAAGGGGAATGGGAGGGTTTCCAGGGGTGGAATGGAAATTCTGGCGTCAGTCACGCTCTAAAACCGTTGCATACCGAAACAGTGGCTGCCTGGAGCCTACCTGGCACTGGGCTCGCACATTGTTGCCATAAATAATCCCGAAGGACTCTCTCCCCACCGTTCCCAGCGTGCCTCTCGTGGGCTCAGCACTCTCACTGGTGTGACTGAGTGGATGGAAGTGCACACAGATGGTGAATCCGGGGAGCAAATCCTGACCGGCCCCCGTACCCCTCTGCAATGTGTCTGAGGTTTCTGCTATTTTCCTGTCACCCAGGGCAATAGTTGGCAGTTTCAGCAATTCCCCCTGAAGTCCTTGTGAGGTGTACTGGAAGTGGGGGGGGGCACTCAGTGACCTTGGAGGCCAGGTGGGCAGCTGGCTGCTGCTCCAAGGGCTGTGTGTAGAGCTACAGTTCAGCCAGCGGAGCGGCTGAAATGACCGAAGCCCAAGATCAGCCTGGCTTAAAATCCCGGGGCTTCTGACACCTGTTAACACGCAGGCTGGGAGACAGCTGTTGGGGACGACTCAAGAAACTGGGTTCCTGCTTGCCCCCACTCCTGGGGAGCCCAGCCCAGAGCCCAGCTGTTGTTAGCATTTGGGGAGTGAATCAACAGCTGTTTTATGGTGCGCATGCGCCCCATGCCGCGGGGCCCACTGATGGAGCAGGGAGGACTGGAGGGAAGGGATTGTGTGTTAACCAGCGAATCCTGCTCACCTTGGAGATCAGATGACTGGTGAACAGGATGTTGGCTGAAGAAAGGACTCCACTAATCCTCAGCAGTGGTAAACCACAAGAAGTGACCTTGCTTTTGCAGGCGAGTCACGGGATGTGAGCTTAGGTAATAGAGGGGGAGGGGACAGAGCCTTCCGGAACACCAGGTTGGCATTCCCTCTCCATGGTTGTTCTTGGAGCAGAAGTGGTGCACTTTTGCCTGGTGGGGCCCGGTCAGTAGTGGATGTAGCTGAGCTCAGACACAGGGGCCCTACCCAGCTGAGTGTTCTTCCCCATGGGGCTGAGCCCCCACATGCATGTGGGGGAGCCTTGGGAACCACAAGGTCAAGTGCAGCCAGGTCCTCCAGGGGGCAGACTGGTGCTGCCAGGGTTGGGACTCTGGTTGGCATGAAGCAAGTACCTCAGAGCATTCTGCAGCTCACCTTGCACCTGCCCTCTCATCATTACCCTTTCCTGCCAGGAGATGGGAGATAAGGACATCTTGTACCTCCCACCTCCCTCCTTTCACCTCCCTCTCACCACCTCCCTACTCCTCCTCCCACCTCACTGCTCCTTCTCCCATCTCCCTCCTCCTCTTGCTTACTTTCAAAGCAAAATGCATGCAAAAGATGTCTGAACACTCTTATTTGTTTTTCCCAGTCTGTTGCTTGGATCAGCACGTGCAGAAGTCCCCCGAGAGTGTCGCTTTGATCTGGGAGCGTGATGAGCCTGGGACGGAAGTGAGAATCACCTACAGGTACAGTGTATGCCCTGATGGGTCTCGGCTCAGGCTCATTGCCAGGCCAGCTGGGTCTTCCTGTGGGCTTGCGGAGGGGAAAGGCTGGACCAGCGCCGCTCCCGGGGCTCCTGCAGACGATGCAGCTCAGCTTGCCGTGGGGCCTGGCCTTGACTCTGCCTAGATTCTCAGGACCTGGACAGGGTCTTCTGAAACAAATGTTGCAACTGTTTGTCCTTGTCCCAGGAAGCTTGCTCTGGTCTCTGGGCCAGCCAGGATTGTCTGGGGATCAGGCAGTATGCTTCAATGTTGCAAATGTTCTTCTACTCAGGCTAATCAGCAGGAGTGCTATCTGTATGCAGTGCCTGCTGGAGTCCACGCAGCCTTTTGCATAGGTACTCCTGGAGCTGCTAGGAGACCAGGATGCTAACTGTTTTTCTTTGGTTGTTTGAGTGGAAGTTTTGCACATTCTGAGTGCTTCTAGGGGGAGGCTGTGCCTCGGGAAGCTGCTTCTTCCATGGATTGCCTTGCTCTACAGCTTTGAGTTGGGGTTTAGGGCTCACTGTAGCTTCGCATCATGCCCTAGGGAACATGCCTTCTGTCCCCACGTGTCTGGACCCCCCTGCAAACTATCAATTATCAGAGACAGCTTTTTTTTTAAGATTAATTTTTATTGGACAGTCAGATATACAGAGAGGAGGCAAGACAGAGAAAGATCTTCTTTCTGATGATTCACATCCCAGGTGGCTGCAGTGGCTAGAGCTGAGCTGATCCAAAGCCAGGAGCCGGGTCTCTTCCAGGTCTCGCACGCAGGTGCAGGATCCCAAAGCATTGGGTCGTCCTCGACTGCTTTCCTGGGCCACAAGCAGGGAGCTGGATGGGAAGCGGGGCCGCCGGATCAGAACCGGCGCCCGTATGGGATCCTGGTGCGTTCAAGACGAGGACTTCAGCCGCTAGGCCACCACGCCGGGCCCCAGAGTCAGCTCTACTGTACTGCAGTAGCAGAATGCCACAAGCTGAGGAGCTCAGAAGGAAAAGAAGCTGTTTTATCATGGTACAGCAAGCTGGACGTCGCTGCCGGGTCCCGTCCAATGGCGGAAGACCAGAGCGAGAGGGAGAGATGGAGAAGGCTCAGGTCACTTCTGTGCTAACCAGTTCTGGGCCGTCCGAAGCTGGGAACCAGGAGCTTCTTCCTGGCCTCCCATGTGGGTGCAGGAGCCCCTAGCACTTGGGCCATTCTTTGCTGCTTTCCCAGGTGCATTAGCAGGGAGCTGAATGGAAGTGGCGCAGCTGGGACACAAGGGCCCATATGGGATACTGGCTTCACAAGCGGCAGCTTTACCTGTTACGCCACGTCGGCGATCCTCTAAATCATCTCTCAGTGATCCCACTGCCTGTTGATGGCCTGAGTTCTGCAGGTAGCCGTCATAAGGAGCACCCAGTGCGCATGCTCCTCTAAGGGCAGCCGTGGACTTCTTTTTCCCTGTCGTCCACCACGACTCCATCGAATACCTCTGTTCTGATTGGGAAGGTTAGGGGTGTGCTGTAAGACACACACCCACCGAGTAGGCAAGGAGGGCTTCTCTGACGAGGTGACTTTGAGATTGGATGACAAGGAGGAGAGCCAGGCCCCCAGTAAGGATCCAGGGAGGTGCCCCAGGAGCAGCTGTGCGGCCTGCAGGGGTGACAGGCCTCAGGGGGAGGAAGCTGTGGAGATGCAGGTCCAGACAGAGCTGGAGCCTGGCAGCACACTTGCCACTCCGTGCCTTGGTGCCCACCAGGCAGCACTCATTTCCTGTTGCTTCAAGTCCGGTTGTATCACAGGTCATGTTTACCAAGCCTGGTCGTACAGGGTTCAGGCGAACTTGGGTGTCTGTTAAATACTTTTAAATTCTTGTACAACTTGGGCTGGCATTGTGGTGTAACGGGTTACGCACACGGGTTATGTATACCTACAATGCTGTCGTCCCATATGAGCACTGGTTTGAATCCTGCCTGTTCTAGTTCCCATTCAGCTCCCTGCTGATGCTCATGGGAAAGCAGTGAGGGTGGCCCAAGTACTTGGATCCCTAAACTCAGGTGGGAGACCCAGAAGAAGCCCCTGGCCTCTAGCTTCAGCCTGATCTAGCCCTGGCTGTCGTGGCCATTTGAACCAGTGAATGGAAGATCTCCCCCTCTCCCCAATTCTCCCTTTCAAATAAAATAAATTGAAATGGATTTTTACAACGTTACGACATTGTATGTATTTATCTTATGTATTCGAAAGGCAGAGGAAGATAGAAGATAGACTGGTCTTCCATCCTCTGGTTCAAACCCCAAATGCTGAGCACGGCCATGATTGGATCAGGCCCAAACCAGGAACCCAGAAGTAGGTTCTGGCCTCCCACAAGGCAGCAGAGACTTGACTTGTATAGTTGTGATCGGCTGTCTCCATTAGCAAAGGAGTACTCTGGCGTGGGGGATCAGAGCCAGGGTTGAGCTCAAGTTCTCTGGAGCTGGGGTGTGGGCGTGCCAGGTAGCATGCTCCCCACAGTGCCCAGGGCCTGCCCCAGGCAGGCTGTGCGGGGTTATGATCGGTCATCTACTGCACTCTCACTGCCCTCAGGCCTGGCATGATTCTGTATCATGTTGTGAACTTGAACTCAGGGTCCCTGGTTGCAGAAAGCTTGTGGCCTGCAGGCCTGCACCCCAGCGCAGCCAGACCCACTGAGAGTGGCTCTGCAGGCAGCACTTGGGGACCAGGGATTCAGAGAATGCTGCTGCCGTAGCTGGAGATCCTTGAAACAGGTCTGGCCCAGCCACCGGCCCAGCCAGCTCCATTTGCGTGGGAACGAAACTCCTCTGCAGGCTCTTGGGGCAGCTGCTCCTTTAGCACAAGATGGAAACCACATGCCGGGGTTACGGGTAGGCGGCTGAGGCCCTGGAGCTCCCTGCAGGGCCATTTCCTTCCCTGTCTGTCTCTGGTGTACCACGGGCCCGCACCCCGTGAACCCGTGGGCTGGAGGAGGCTGCTGACTTGCACATGGGGGCTGTGTGTGCGTTTGTGTGTGTCTGGGTTGAGCTGCCTGGGCGGCCGGCTGAGGTGGGTAGTTAAATGTAAACCACACAGGAATGTTCAGGACTGCAGCCAACAATTCCCAAGTTACTTTGCACCCAAGCAGCCCGGGGCCTGAGCCAGGTTTATGAGTACGAATGGAGTATTTATGATTCTGTCTTGTCTGCCAACGAACAGCCCTTTGCCAGTCTCACCAGCCCGTGCCCGTTTCTGCTTCCTGCCTGGGTGAGAAGTGGTGGCCTTGCAGGTGGCATGTGAAGGACTCGGGTTAATTTTTACCTGGTCACTTGAGGTTTGGGATGTGACTCTCTCCCGCACATTGGTACCGTGGCATCAGACATCCGTGCCTGGGAAGGCCCCTGGCCTTGTGGGGTCAGGGAGAAGGCTTGAGGAACTGTGGGTGCTGGGTACCCAGAGGCTGCATCTGCAGGTTAGCAAGGGTCCCTGGTGTGGGGGTCTCAGGGGACCCTGGGGACCTCAAGAGCAGTAGGTGACCCAGCAGCCCGAGTTCCCTTTGGTCCTTATGGAGCACTGGGTGAGCAGGGTGAGGCACAGTATGGTCCGGTCTGGATGGGTCTGGTTCGGGCCCGTCCTCTGCTGGCCGGTGACCTTGTGAAGCTGTGGCACCTGCCAGGGCTCAGTCTTTCCATCTGAAATGGGAGTGGTGGTCACTGCTGGAGCAACTGCAAGGCCACAGTGGATGCCATGGATTCCGCTGACCAGAGATTGTACGGTTATGCTGCTGGTTGACTGTTTCCTGAGCATCTAGCTAGGCTGCAGCCCTGCCCAAGGCTTCGGGACTTTGTGTCAAGATGGAAAGGTGTTGATTGTCCTGGCCAACATCTCACTCTGAATACTTGGGTTTGGCGCGTGCGCTGTGGGAACTGCTGCCCAGCTCTGTAGTGCCTGTGTTGTCACCTGCGACCTGTCCCTCTGTCCCTGCATCCGCAGTGTCGGATGTATTTCGAGGGAAGTAGCAGACACAGTGATTCCTCCCAGGCCCTGCAGCGTGCCCTTGACGGACCAGAGGCCAAAAGAGAGATCTTCCATCTGCTGATTCATCCTAATGGCCACAGTGGCTGGAACTGGGCCTGTTTGAAGCCAGGAACCTGGAGATTCTTTCAGGTCTCTGACATAGGTGCAGAGTCCCAAGGACTTGGGCCATTCTCTGCTGCTTTCCCAGGTGCCTCAGCAGGGAGCTGGATCTGGAGTGGAACGTCTGGGACCTGAACTGGTGCCCATATGGGATGTGGGATCCCTAGCCCCCCACCAGAAAAACATTGATCTGATGTTTCTCCTTGGGATCCTTTTAAAGCAAACCTTACAGATTAGCAGACTGGGGGTCAGAGAGGGGGAGTGATTTGTGTAAGGACAAACGGTGTAAGGAAGCGGTGGCTACATCTGCCTTCTGTAAGTTCAGAGCCATATACCGCATCAGCACACGCCCCAGGCAGACACCGGAGGCCTGCTGGTTCCCAGGGTGAAGCCCTTCCAAAGGGGGCCGTTGTCAGCCCCCTCTGCCCCTGTAGGGTCACTTGGATGGTCCTTCCTCAGATACTCACCACCGCCTCGTCCTACTGAGCCTGATGCAGTATTGCCGTCAGGTGTCTTGGATGAGAAACCAATAGCTCCTGCCCAAGAAGAGGAGGGCTCAGTTCTTAATGACACCTCCACCGCATTACAGGAGTTGCCACTAATGCAGGAATGTGTGTGTAGATGACGTGCACACACGTGCATACATGCAGGAACACACATTCATGAACAGATACACACATGAACACATGCTCAAACACGCATGCACACAGATGCACATGTCTGTAAGCAAAGGTCACATGTGTGCACACACAGGAACACACATCCATGAATGCACGCACACATGAATACACATGAACACATGTGCTTGAACACACACACACAGGTGCACATGGTGTAAGTAAAGGTCACATGTGTGCACACACATGCATGA